ATTCACCATACAGAGAAACAAGGGCCTACTAATCAAAATGGCCGAGAGCGGCCCATGCCCGCAATCAGAAGACATAATGGCTATATATGAACTGCTGTTTGCAAGCTTCTTGGATTGCATGAGCCAGAGAGTGAAAATATGCTAACCTGCTTCTGACCAACTAGTTGAAGTTCAACGCACTCTAAATGCCATGCTGGGAGACTCGGCAAGTTCCCATGCCGTCTTTCTGCAGCAGCGCTTTCCTTGGCTAGGAGTTCATTGGGAAAGATACCCTCACACCACCCACATCTCCGTAGGGCCTTGAAGCAGAGGCACCATTAAGCTGGTACAACCCTGCCTGGTTAGTCCCACTGCTTGTGAAGTAGTACAGGATCTTACAGCTTCTAAAGCCTTGCTGTATAACTTTCACATACATGATGTTAAACTCTCATCAAAGGAGAGATCAGAAGAGGAAACGGAAAAGGGTAAAGGGTATTTTCATTAGCAAATGTTTATTTTAAAACAAGGTACTGAAATTATGCAAGTGTGTAAGCGGCCATCAAAGCAGGATAGCTTATCTATGGCTGTTAATTAACCCTTTGTATCATGGCAAAAGTAATACAATATGAGTATTTTGGGTAAAGGCTTAGTTAAAGAGGGATTCTAAACACCATAACAATGTCATCTTAAGCAAGTGGTCATCACGCAGAGATCCTGACCTGTGGAGGTTCTTTTTATAATATATTTAACTCGGAAGATAAATATTTCTGAGATTTCTCAGCCCCAATGGATTCTCCTGCTGGTTTCAAAATGTGTCGGCTTTGGCCTAGTATTAGTTAATACTTATGATTGTAACACGCATACCTTGCATCGTTTGTAAGTACTGGTAATACAGTTAATAAAAATAAGCAGACACTCTAACATTTAATAACAAAATTATATTAAAAGCTGACTTTGTATTGTTCTGATACTGTGTTTTCCAGATGACCGTCACGTAACATTAGAAACAAATAGCCAGCGGGGTAAAGCATTTACCATGTGTTCCCTGCCTGACTGTGCAAGTTTGGGAATCCCTCTTCATTCTTCACTTAAGGATCATTAATGACCCCAAGCAAATTCATGGTTGTGGGGCCCAATTTATCCCGAGCCCTAGACAGCCGCCTTGGGTCGCCTTATGGTTAATCCTGCTCTGCATTCATCTGTGTGACAATAACCTAAAACTAACAAAAAAGAAGCCTTTCATGGAATTATTTACTGCTATAACCTTTCTAGTACTGGAAGGAACCAATGTTTTTCCATTATGTAACATGCACATCCTGGAACCTCCGATGTAGCCTGGAAAGCATGTCATAGGCAGCCAAAAAAACTTCCAAAGAAACACAATGTTTCTAGTTTGGATAATTTTCCCACAACTTTATTTCTTTTATATTTGTTTTTCAGATGTTTTTATAGATGCCTAATAATACAATGTTGGTAATTCACTTAGAGATTCCACGGAGAAGATATTCAGATATTCTTTAAAAAATAATAATAATAAAAAAATATGTGGAAAGACCATTTTGCTGATATAACTAAAACATAAAAAAAGGTTTAGAAACACTTTCATGATGAAAATTCACTGCTGCTCTCTCTGTTTTAAAAACTTAAAAGGTAAGTCTAAGGGACGTGTCAGGGCACAAATAATACTACCTACTTTTAATGAAGGCTTTGACATATAGCATGTTTTAGGATACTATGTGTAAGATGCAGACAGCTTGTGGTTTGATCTGTTGATTTGCTCCCTAGCTCGTGGAAAAAGACAGCAAGTTGGTGCCGAAATGTTGGGGGCATTGGGGACTTGTTTCTGCCAGGTTAGGCTTGTGAGAAGTTTGGTAAATTATTACGGTTTTATTTTGATGCCTTTATATTGTCACTCTGTATATTTTGCTATATGCATTTTATGCCAATTGTTGGTTCATTAAATATTTGCATAACTTTCTAAAGTGGTTCTAGTGTGCATTCTCTTTTTGGTAATAAGAGGTTCTTTTATGAACATTCCTAATTTGCCTTACCGTAACTCCAGCAATGATTTTGCATTGGCCATCAAATTATAGGAGTTCTCTTCTCATGCGCAGGAAAATTACTAAAACATGCCAGCCTTGCAGGTTCTTCTATTATTATGTTATTTTTTTACATAGCGCCAACAAATTCCGCAGCGCTTTACATTGAGTGGATGAACAGACATGTAGTTGTAACCAGACAAATGGAGCTGCTGGAGGGAGTGGGGTAACATGACACAAAAGGTACGGATAGTATTAGACTAATGACAGTTGCAAGAGAGGAATCAGTCGGGAGTTATTAACAGTTTAATTGATACACTTTTATGAAGTGGGTTTTTAAACGGAGGAGGGAAGTGAATTCCACAGGAATGGTGCAGCGCTTGAGAAGTCTTGAAGGCGAGCATCAGAAGTGGGAATACGGACAGTAAATAGACTTAAGTCTTCAGCAGAGCGTAAGGGCCTAGAAGGACCATACTTGTGCGTTAGGGAGGATAGATAGGTGGGAGCAGCATTATGTAGAGATTTGAAAGCAATAACCTTAATTTTAAACTGAGCCCTATATCTTACAGGAAGCCAATGTACGGACTGACAGAAGGGTGAGGTGCGGGCAGACAGGAAGATGAGCCCCATTTTTCACTATTGCATGGATCGTGGATATGTTACCACCAAACATTTTAAAGGATAATAGTCACCTCAAAACTATTTTTTAAATGCAATAAGTATGTCACAACTTGAAAAGGTAATACATTTTTTAATTAAGTATATGTAAAAGAATTAAATAGGAAAAACTCATCCCCACCTTCAGTATATTTGTCCTTAAGGGCTTAAAGATGGATGCCCCCATAGAGTAAGGGTGAGGCAGGACATGCAATATCGTCAGTTATATGAATGCTTTACAACATGACACACAGTGGCTACAGTTCATGTTATGTTTTATTCTAATATTAATATTTAAAATGTGACCATTTTCCATTAATGGGGCTTGCAGAGCTTACTTAAAATGTTATGATCATGACATGTACCTCTCTGTAAAAAATGGAAATTTGTATTTATTTGGGTGGTCACCATGGAAATTGATGGACTCAGTAGGCATATTCCCATTACCCCCAAACCTTGGGATCTATGAATTCAGTAAAAGGTGTGTGGGAGGCACAAAAGTGCAGACTAAAAGTATGGTCCTGCCCAAAGGGTCATAGTCAAAAGGGAGTTTGTCAGTCTGATGTCAATGCATCCTAGGCAGACCATCGCTCGTTTTGACCCTACTCCCCACTGCCCACGTGCAGAGCTCTTCTGAAGCTCTCTGCCCTGAGCTAGAGGGCAGTTTATACACAAGTAGTCTCTGGCAGGCTAGAAAATACCACCAATTTGGGACAGTTGGAGCGATGCAATTCACTGGTGACTACTCCCCTTTTCCAAACCTGCACCATTTTTGGATCATGATTAAGTGTCCTCAAAGTAACGTGTTTTATTGTATAGGCTTACCCAGAATGCATTTCCTTTTTTATCAGTGCAGAAGAGAGTGTGTGTCAGAGGAATTGATGACTTTATTCCAATATATTTAAGGTCATATCCTGGGAGATTACGATCAGGTGGCAGTACATGTAGCATTGTTTTTCTATAAACAAAAAGGAAGGTCATTTCAAAGGTGCCAAAAGAATCTCTATGGTGGCAGACTGCACTCTTCCTGGCAGTTGTGTTGACAAATAGTGACTACAGAAAGCTATTTATGCCTTCGCTTGAGTGCACCTCTCTGCACGTGTGTAGCTCTGGTAGGCTGAGCTGCATGTCCCCTCAGTGTGCACACAAGTGTGATTTAGATACATGACTCACTGGAAAATCTATCACCTGCACTCCACCAATGGTGTTGCACCTTCCCACCTCCGCTTCATTCCAGTGTTGGTCGGTATGGAAGCTCATTTGAAGCCGAGTTGTTTTTCTAACTGCATTGAGAGTTCAAGTCCTCATTTCATTGCTGTTTTGCTATGTCCTTGATATATCCCGGCATAAATGCCCATTGCTATCCGTGGATTAATAGACTGTCATTTCTCACTAGCACATACTCTACCTGTCAAGTCTGACAACATGGGCACCATAAAGCGAAGGTTCATGCTGTAGTTGGATCTATTCAGGTCATTTGAGCCATGCTTGCACTATGGCCATCTATCACTTTTGGGCCAGTTGGCCTTTAAATAGAGTATGATAACTTAAGGAGATATGACACCCTCCTTTGATGACTTGAAAGATAATTTAAAAGTTGAGAAGCAATCATACTAGTATTATTAAAGGGACACTATAGTCACCAGAACAACTACAGCTTATTGAGTTTGTTCTGGTGAGTAGAATTATTACCTTCAGGCTTTTTGCTGTAAACACTGTCTTTTCAGAGAAAATGCAGTGTTTACATTACAGCCTAGTGATAACTTCACTGGCCACTCCTCAGATAGCTGTTAGAGATCCATCCTTGGTCATGGCTGCCTAAAATGCATCCAAACATTCAGTATCTCCACCCTCTGCATGCAGACACTGAACTTTCCTCATAGAGATTCATTGATTCAGTTAATCTCTATGAGGAGATGCTGATTGGCCAGGGCTGTGTTTGAATCATGCTGGCTCTGCCCCTAATCTGCCTCCTTGCCAGTCTCAGCCAATCCTATGGGGAAGCATTGTGATTGGACCAGGCTACCACTTCTGACGATGTCAGCAGACAGCTTGTTTTTTCTGAGGCAAACAGCATGCAGAGTTACAGCTTCAGGCTTGAATACAGTAAGATTTTGCTATATTTATGGAGGCATGAGAGGCCCAGCAGGGCTAGATGGTGGTTTTAACACTATAGGGTCAGGAATACATGTTTGTGTTCCTGACCCTATAATGATCCTTTAAGGTAAATTGGAATCAAAACTAAAGAATAACAACCTTTCCAAACTCCCAAAATAAAACATCAATAATAAACAAGCACACCCCCACAAAATAAATAAATGTAAGTAGTGGGTACTGGAACATTTATAATTCAAAACAGACACAACATGTAATTCATGACTCTGTTTAGAAGTTGTAATTCATGATTTGGTAAGGTACAGAGAACAGTGCAATGTGATACAACAATCTCAGAAATAACAACTCTTACAATTTTCAGTTTGTCTATATTACACCATATAAATATACAGAGAGAATGCAGCTCTATGTCTCACCAGGAGCATTGACCGTATTAGCACCTCTCAAACCAGAGGTGGTCATCCATAGAATAATTTACAATCTTAACATTACAATATGTACAAAAACAAAAAAGTAAAACATTTCATTTTTTAAAGTTTTTTTTACATTTTTTTTTTTAACCAACCACGCGCAAAACAAAAAAATAAAAATAAAACTGTACAAGAACCATAAAAGGATTCGATTGAGGCTTAACCCCCGTGCCATCTGGAAGAGGAATACGTACACTTCAATCCCCTCTTCCAGTGGTTAGGGGTGATAAACGTCCAAACGCCAGGGAAGGATTTACAGTTTCGTTGCTGCAAAGATTCTCTGGCGTTGAAGAAGTTCATTAATAAGTAATGGCTAAAATAGAAATCAATTGCTACAGTACTGTGTACAGAAATGGCATTCCATCTTTTTTCAACGTCTTATTTTTAGTTATATATTTTTTTGCCTTCCAAATAAAAAATAAACATTTTAAACATGTCCTTCTAATTATTGATCCTTATAATAACACTATATACCCAACAGAAGACGGACAATGAATAGACTTAACAGCATTCTTTCCCAGCTGGTAATTTGTTGTTTCAAAGTCATCTTTAGGGAATACAATAAAAGTTATAGACTTTAAAAAAATGGAAACAAAGACCAATTTTAAATAAATGCAGTAACCCATTAAAAAAAAAAAAAAAAAAAAAATATATATATAATCTAAGAGCGTAGGTCTTTGTTTATCTCTTCTAATCTTTAATTAAAATCTTTATTTTATTTGCCTTAAAAATCCCTCGCATTAATAAATAGCACTTCAAATACATTTCAATTTAGTTTGCAATGTATCTATTTTTTTGTTACTTGGGGGAGAGATTTTCTTTAGCTGCTTTAGACATTTTTGAGCCACTTTAACTTTTTTTTTTTAAACTTATTTCGGTTTTCTCTTTGTAACAGTATCTCTCTTTCATCACATGATTGTTTCTAATGCAGTCTCCCATGTTATTGGAAAACTAACAGGCTTCTCTGTGGCCCATGTACAAGGAACATAGACTATAGTGACATGTTTAGCTCAGAATGAAGTAGAACGTAATAATAATACTGATGTGTCTGTACATTCAGAGCCAGTAATAGATAGGCACAACTCAAAGGTTCTCAACGATGGTCATCAGAAACCCCCAAAACATTTTTATTGCTCCTTACAGCCTCAGCAATTTAATCCGTGTCTAACTGAACCTGAAAATCTGCTTTTGCTCAGGTGAAGAAATTCTAAAACTGTCAATGTCATGACTGTTCAGGGTCTTCAAGAACAGACCTTGAGAACTCATTGACATAGCCAGGGACTATAAACCAAGAGGCACATAAATTGCTCACAGTTACAGGAAAATTGTCAGTTTTTCTGTCTTACCAGCTGTCACTCAAAGAAGAATGGGGACGGGATACCCAAAGGAACAATTAAAAACATCCACAAAACCAACTATCTGTAGTGTAGCTCTTTTGAGGCAATTGGATCTTAAGATTTTCATATGATACTCAGCTTAACTCCACCTCCCATATGACAGGTTTACCTAGTTATGGCATCATTGCACCATGGGAAGATCTCATATATGGTTCCACCAAAAGATAGCTCAACTATTTCAATATACATAAGTACATAAAATCATAACAATACCACCTGAACATCCTACCCAAGGATCTACCTAAACAACCCTGACTGTACCACTAGAACATCCTACCCAATGGACCACCAAAATAAACACCAACCTGTCCAATTAGTACATGGGTTTGCCAGGACGAAACCAGAGATTTCTAACAAAAAAAATCATCAATCTTTACTCTTCTGAACTTAACATGGGCTGCCACAACTGTTAGCAAGTTTTTACCCAGCTGATCTTCTGGGCCAACATTTCAATACAAAATGAATTATTTTACCTGCCAAAATAAATTGCACTCTGCACATACTCTGTGATTTTGCTATCAAGTTGCACCCTGCTCCCCAGGTCCTAAAACTTCAAAACTTCAAACAGCAATATCTAGAGTTAAAGTTGTACAGACACCTTTAAACATCTGCCAGGAAGCTCAAGCACATATGTCTTCTTTTTTTGTAGTAAATGAGAAATATTTCAGACAATTCCAGCCAACCTAGTGGGTTTTCATATACATTTTTGATTTTTTAAGAGTTGATCAATACATACGAAGTAAAAGAAGCAATTTAAAATCAGTCTAATTCTATGATCATGGTGCTTTATAATACGGAATAATTTACCTCTCTTTCCACTTATGATTAGCAAAAGCACAAATTTACCTACTTTGCCAAAGCCCTTTAAAAACTGAGGTTGGGTTTATACCCTTCACTGTAGGCAAGATAGTCACAAAACATCCAATGATTGTAAAATTATCTTAATATAGATCAGCAAAAATGATTCCAATCCACTGGTTTAATACAATGCAATGCGCCCTGGCTCAGGACAAAATGTAATCAACGTGATCTACTGTGTTCCAAAGCGTTCTATAAAAGACAAGTCAGTCACCACTGGAGGTTCTGGAAAGGAATAGTTTGTCTCAAGTTAAAATTCACCAATCATGTACTTATCACGGCTGTTACTGAAAGGATTGTGATAATATAAATCTCTTGAAGCATAAAGAATACTTACTTGTCCCACATATATTCAAATGTGTATATATATATATATATATATATATATATATATATATATATATATATAGAGAGAGAGAGATTATATATATATATATATATATATATATATATATATATAGAGAGAGAGAGAGAGAGAGAGATAATATATATATATATATATATATAAAAACTAAAAACTTCCCTTTGGCATTAGTGCCAAGTCTGTATCAACGACCTGCAATACACAGCACACATGGATGATATATTTTTATATATTAAATAACATAGTAAAATGTTTAAAAAAACAAAACAAACTGCAGAAGGCAGACCTACAGCTGATATCACCATGTAGTGTTTCGGTTACTTATTACATAGATTTTGTAGCAGGTTACGCATTAATATTTTTTAAAATATACGTCAAGATAAAAAGTATTGTATAAACCCAGTTGTTCTGCTGGATTAGAGTGGATTTATCTTCGTTCAGATTTTTTTTCTATTATTTACTTTCATAAACAACTTTTTTAAATTAAATTTTAACATAGGGCAATAGTTGTGAAGTTATCCATATTCTAAGTTTGCCTCTGCAGAGCTCTGTTGTATGCCTTACTGTGCCTTTATTCTGTCACCTGTCCTGGGCACACGTGCATTCTTCCCACCATGTTTGTCTAAAGCTCTCACTACTTAGCGTCTGTAAAGTAATAATCATGCAAAGCAGAGCACGCAGAAATACCCCAGTGAAGGGAACCATGACAGTTCCACTTTAAGTTCTCCCCTCATTTTGTTAAACTCAGTCATCGCTGACAATCGCTTTGCAAACTTCCAGTAAAGGCCTTGTTTAAAATGTTCAGGTAACTATGGTGCAAAACGTTTTTATGGTTTTATATTGCAGTGGACGGAACCAAAGGTATCCTATTTTAAGTACAGAGCGCAGTAGACGCCGGTCATCCTATCACATTTTTAGGAATGACCGTGTCCGACAGCATTGTTAGATTGTGCTTGAATGGCACGCAAAACTTATAGTAAGCCCTAGAAAATACCACTATGCTTTAACAGTCACAAAAAAAGTTACTAGTCAGTAACTGGTCAATCCAGTGTTTGGCTTGCCCCATATGGAAATGGACTGTCTCTCAGGTTCTGCTTATTAAAAATCACAGCGGTGACATTGGAAACTTAACCGACATTAAGGGACACTCCAAGTTCCATAACTAACGCTTCTTGCTTTGAACGTGGTCCTAGGCCCCTACCCTGTCCCCAGTCAAGCCCCACCTTTACGAGCAAATTCTTCCCATCCTTCGTTGTAGTTGTGTGCATCTAATACATAAATTGAGCCATCTTTAAGCTACAATTAGAAGCATGTCATGGGGTTTTACCATAAACAGGATTGTACATGTATAATTTTTATTTCTAATTGTCTAAACATTAATTTTGCTAATTTTAAAAACATTACCTCTATAATAAATTAAGAAATGGGTGTCCCTTATTGTCCAATTAAAATAATTTCTAACAATGGAGAAATGCATATTGTAGTTTGCGCGATGCTTCATTAGACAGTTTCTAGGAATAATTCAACAATAAATTATTTATAAAGAGATATATACCCATCATTTGCTTTTCCTAGATTTACATCATACAAACTAAAATATAATTTTTTCCCCGTAATTACTGATACTTTGTCATTAAGTACCCGTTATATTAAATACTGGTACCCTCTTATATCTTCATATTAAATTGTTTAAAAACAAGCATGAAACGTTTCTAATTTTATATTTGATTGACTTATAACTTCTCAAAAAGAAAGTTTAAATCTTGCCTCCATGCCCTGTTTTACAGCAGTGTTACATAAACTAGAAACTAGGCCTTCGAGCAAAGCTAGCAGAGTTGGCAGGTGCAACGTCTACACATCGTGATTTATTGTGGTTCTTTGGAAGGATGCAAGTTCTTGCAGAAATATATTGCAGCAAAAAAAAAAAAACAAGTTATTTGTTTAAAAAAACAAAATAAAAAAATTAGACGGACATCATCTTTATTTTTCTAATCCAGGACAGCCCTTTCATGTAAAAATACACATCAAACACAGACTTCTAGAACTGGATTCTAGAAAGAGGTCCTGCCTGAAATTTTGGCTTAAGGCAAATATATAATTGCATTGTCTGTAAACTACTTTTTATTTATTTTTTAAAACTACTAGCATTCAAGGCTGAAGGGGAAGAGTTTCAGTTTGTGGAGCAACAGGGGGGAACGACATTATTGTAGTTGACTTTTTTAACAAATAGGAAATGACTTTGACCTCATGGAAAATCTAACGGTTTCCAAATGTTTTGAATGGCTTGTGAAGAGATTTTATTGCATTTTCGCAGTGATTTACAAAGTACCTGAAAACATGGAGCTTGTATTTTGTAGCTATCAACTTCCACAGATTACTTGATTGATATAGGACAATCTGTAGAATTCTGATATATCTAAGATAAAGTAGGGAAATGAAATCGTATTTGATGGCAGCATGTTACTTTACCAGGGACGGCTCTCATTAATAAGTACGGTATCGGTTTTCGTTTACTTAGGAAGCAGATTTACAGACTTTGATACATATTGTCTGTTATCTGTCCATGATCTTTTCGGTAAGTACCCACTGGCTATAATAGGCACACCATTAGCCAGGCCTAAGGATACAAACATCTCCAGTGTAGAAAGATCCATCACCAGTGAAAATGTATAAATATTGTGTTTTGTGGAAAGCTAATGTCAACATAATTTGGGTACCTGAAAAAAGAACAATTGGTTACAATTTGAGGCTGTGCTATCTTATAACGTCCATGTTTTCTTTAAGGATAAAAAGTACAACACTGCTGTTACGGAGAATGGGAAAAAGGCTTTGAGAAACCGCCACAATTTTAAGAGATGGACGTGCAGCCCTGCTGTTGTTCATATCGGGGGAAGAGGCTAACAAAGGTACAGCACAATTCTAGGACAGGAAGGATGCACTATTTAGACCTTTAGCCTTTACTGTTTCTTTTACATTTTAATCGCAGATTACAGACATGCAAGTATTTGGCAAAATAATAAAAGAAGCCCAAAAATCTGCTGCTGAAAACTCATATTGTTAGTTTTCCCCCCTGAAGATACATTTGCAGCTTGTTGTCCCCCTAAATCCACTCGTGTGTTAGTGTATTGCCATTATGCGCAAACATAACAAAAAGAAAGAATTAAACAAAAGACGAAGAGATTAACACATTGAGGAAGACTTTTAGCCACGCTGCAAGCTGCTTCTGCAATATGATATTTTCTATTACCCCCATTTTTCTTTTACTATTACCTAACTGTACCAACCCCCCCCCCCCCAAAAAAAAACTATGGCGTTTTTGTGGATCTCATGAGAGAAACCGCTCAATAAATTAAGACAATTTAGAAAATATATATTTCTATATCTATGTCAAGAGTTAAAGAGATATAATTAAAATATTACTATATATATTTTTTATAACCAAAAAAGTGTCTTTGCTGGATAACATTAGTTTCACATTCTTTGACCATTTAGCTACCACTTAAGAGGTGTAGAGTATTGGCCTTCTTTTTGGTAGGAAATAGGTCAATTTCATAACATATTGGTTTGCAATCTCTCACTACACAAAAAGACTTCTTGAGCATTTTGTACACACGCATATGATAGGTGAAAGTGCACATTTTAAAAGGTAAGGTTGCAAAACGTATTCTGTTTATAGTTTACCCAGAAGCCTTTGCCACGGGAGTTCTCTGCCACACAAAGTAAGACGAACATACATTTACATAAAAGGCACAACCTTTCGCTTGTAATATTCAACTCCTTCTCCCTTGTAGACTTGATGTTCAGGGAGATGAAACCAGCTTGGCCATGAGAGAAGGACTATTTCTGTATAATAAACAATCTATTTGTTAACTGAAAAAATACAACACATTCCGCTGGGTGGAATGAAATAACACACAGTAAAAAATGAGGAAAAATTAAAATTAAAAAAAAATTAAGAAAAATCACATTTCCATTCAGTTATCGATTTCTTTGTGGAAAAAATGGCTTATCGCAGCAAGCGCAAAAATAGAAATGAAACTTGATTTCCTTGTTGCATCCGTTTAAAAGGGAAAAAAAGCAAAACAAATAGAACAAAACAAAACAAAAAATATATATTAAAAAATAAAATAAGTTACAGTTTTTTTTCTAGAGCATGTTGTAACTTTCTTATGGCAACAAACTCCTATTCTGTGCAAAAGTATCTGAATCTACAGTAAGTGTGTTTGTTCCCCTTGAGAATACAAAAAAAAGAATAAAAAAGTAAACCAAAAATAAATATGAAATCTGAAATAAACCACATTTTTTGATCTTGTAAAACAGTTTTGTGTTTGTTATCGAAGGTTTATAAGTTTTTTTCCATCCAAGTTCATGAATCCACAGGTGTTGTGTCATTTGAGACCTCAGTCTGTTCTGTTTGTCCTTCCTGCATTGTCTCTGCTTCTTCATCTATGTCAATCTCTGTCTCTCGTATTTCAGTTGCTTCAAGAGGGCAGTTGCCCTCATCCTCTTCTATTCCACTGTTCCTGTCTTTATCAGAGTCTTCTGCTTCCTCCTCAAGGGTGAGTTCAAATTGAAACTTCTCAATGCAAGCCTCCTCGTCTTTGTCCGGGTCATCAGGTGGTGGAGAGGGACTCTGTGGGATCATGCCTTGGTACCAATCCCTGTTGTCCTCCAAAGTATCAAGGATATCCTGAGCATCAGGATGAACAAGATCAGACCAGGTCTCCCACAAAGGGTGTACAATGTAATCAATGAAGCCCACCTGTAGGTTAAGAGACACACAGTTGATTCACTCATGAAGACGACTTTCCTTATAGCATATATCAATAATGAACGTTAATACGTAAGACTCTTCTAAGAAGTGACCTTCTGGGAGGAGGCATGTCAATAATTGTCACGTACTGGTATTATATAGGTGGGCCACTTTAAACTCTCTAATCTAGATTATAAAAACAATCTAAAATTATGAAACTTCATATGAGGTGGCACTGCATAAATGGCACAGTCAGCCAACTACCGG